TTTGCTGTATATATATATATATATATATATATATATATATATATATATATATATATATATATATATATATATATATATATATATATATATATATATATATATATATATATATATATATATATATATATATATATATATATATATATATATATATATATATATATATATATATATATATATATATATATATATATATATATATATATATATATATATTTTGTATTTTTAAGATAATTTTTCACTAAAAAATTTTTTTAAATTTATAATTTGATTTTTATAAAAAAAATAATAAAGTTAGCCGCCATTTTTTATTATTTAATTGGAACTAAAAAATATTTTTTAAAAAATTCAAATTTTTTACAAATTCATTTTTTTTTATTAAAAAAAAAATTTTTTTAATTTTTTAAAGTCATCTAACCTAATATTAAATTATAAAAAATTAATTTTTTTTTCACCAGTAAAATAAAAAATGATTTATTTAATTTACCACACCCACATTAATTTATCAAAACTTAATAGATAATTCGAAGAAACACATTCATTTTATTTGTTAATTTAACTCGTCTGATATGATCCTTTGAAGGCCTATTAAAGACGTTGTTGGCCTTATTAAATTTAATTATACGTCTTCGACTAGACGGTCTTCCTTGTATATTATTCGAGGTTTCGCGTGCTTCCAACACTTTGGCTATTTTATTGCATATATGTATTACGTGCTATATATATACAGATATCTGCTTTATACATTTGTCGATCCGGAGGCCAAAAGATGTGTACGTCCAAGCGTCCAAGGCGACCTTGATGGGTGACTAATACTATGGCAAATGTGTATAGCCATTAGCAAAAAAAAAATTTTTGAGCTTAGTCAAGAATTTTTTTTTTTAAGTATAATCGGAGTCGATTATTCCGGGATTTAAATCTCCGTTTTGAGAGACTTATTTATCACCATGAATATTTAATGAGGAAAGATATAAGATGGTAAATTTAAATATTTAAAAAAAATAAATTCCAGGAGAATTTTTTACAATTTTATTTTCGAATAAAAATTATTAATAAAATTTTAAATACATTTTTTATAAAATAAATTTTTTAGTTTAACAAAATTTTATTTTAAAGTTAAATAAATTATATATTATTTAAAATTATAATTTTTTTATCGGGTCATCTGTTTTACTTATCATGTCATTAGTAATATTATATTTTATTTTATTTTATTTTATTTTATTTTATGGAAAATAGCTGACGTAGACGTGAATAATTTAGAAAGAATGTCTTGTGAAAGCAAAGCTATAACTTGTTTTCTAAGAACGCTTGGTATGACTTATTAATACAGAAATAATAACTCATTATTAATACATTCGATGATAATACAAGACCATTTGAAGAGATAGTATTTTATTATCAAATATGACTCAATGATAATAGCGACATTTATTAAATAATGACTTTTGTTAAATTGTAGTGTAATTTTTTTAATATTGACGTTTTTTGAGATATAAGCTCATCTTGGTGTTATACTCATCAAGAGCTTTATAATATCATATATAATATATATTTTTAAGATAGAAGCTCATCACGATGTTAGGAATGTCAAGAGCTTTCATTTGAGTATCCACATGCATTTTTGATATATTTTTCATACATACATACATATATATATATATATATATATAATATATAAATATATAAAATATATGAAAAAATTGATGTGGGTACTCAAATGAAAGGTCTTGATGAGTGTATTGTCAAAATGAGCTTATATCTTTAAAAACTTCAATATTTAAGAATTTTCATATATTTTTCATATATACATATATATAGTATATATAAATATATAAATATATGAAAAATTGATGTTGGTACTCAAATGAAAGCTCTTGATGAGTGTAACACCAAGATGAGCTTATATCTTTAAAAATGTCATTAGTTCACAAGATACAAGGTCATTTCTTAATTATCAAGAGATAAATTTCAATAAACAAACTAATTTTGGAGAGAAAATTCTTCTTATTCTTTCTTACTAATAATAAATAATTTTTTGTCACAGGTTACAAATGCCGAGGAAGGACATTGCATTTGGTATGGCCAGTGTCATACAGATCAAATGGGGCGGTCGCAAAATTGTTATTACACGGGAGAGGCTAAACCACTAAATGGATCCGGTCTGGAAATACTCGCCCGAAATTGTCCGCATATGATGTCTAATGACGTCCGAACTTGCTGCGATGTTAACCAGCTCGAAACGTTCGATACAAATATTAAACTGGCGGCTAACTTTTTAGCCCGGTGTCCCAGTTGTTTGGACAACTTGGTGAAGCATCTTTGCGAATTCACGTGCAGCCCAAAGCAAAGTTTATTTATGAATGCCACACAGATAGAAGTCAACGAAGATACTAATAATAGTGAGTAATTTTAGATTTTAATATATTATTATTATTATTCGCGTACATCAATTATTCATCAGACGAAGTAAACAATAACACTCCTTTTATTAAACAGCGATCTTGAAAAATTAGTTTATTAATTAAAATATCCCTTGAGGACATTAATTTCTTTTTATAATATTATAATTTTAATTGTCAAGAAAATATTTTTCTTCCTAATTATTTTCCGGAATTTAAAAAAAAATTTACAGATAACGGACAATAGTATGATAATTAGATTTTTTAAGTAACAAACTAACATGTGAATACTCAAAATAATTTACATATCTTTGATAATTTGTCTACATACTTCCTCACGCTAAAGAGATTATTTAAAAAAAAATTAATCACTTGCTTAGAATGTAAATTGATCAAATGATAAGACATCGATTACGCGACCGACAATGTTTATTAAACAAATTTGTTTGGGCTACATTATTATCTTTGTTAAAAAATTCTGATAATTTTTTATAACATTAAAAATTATCTAATTCAAACCATTAAAAATTATTTTTTAATTTTTTTACAATAATTTTTTTTTTATAAAAAAAAATGACTTTAAACTTTGATGTTATTTTTTTATCTAACAGATAATAAGCGAGAACATTGATAAAAAATAAATACACACAACCCGGTTAAAAAAAAAAATTATTGAACGAATGAATGAATTAACTTAACTGTAACTGCTTTTATTACCATTTAATTTTATTAATAAGCAATTAGTCAATTGATGAATCACTCTCTAAAATTTTAATGTAATTACTGATAACCTTTTCAGCGTATGTCAATGCCGTCGACGTATTTATCACGAACAAATATCTCCAAGGAACATTTACGTCTTGCAAAAAAGTATCTATACCGAGTCTTGGGCAATTAGCGTTGGATGTAATGTGTGGAGACTGGGGGGCAAGTAGATGTACTGCTGAAAGATGGTTCACGTTCATGGGTGATTCTAATAATCCATACGTGCCTTTTCAAATTAATTATAATGGAACTGACGGCAAAGTTGGTCCGTTTATCCCAATGGACCCTGAAGTAACTCCCTGCAGCAAAGCTTTGAATGTAAATATTTGAAAATTATTTTTAGTATAAACAAATGCTAAAAGGGTGTTGAAAAATTTTTTTTTCTAATAACTTTTGTTAAATTGTACTGTACTTTCTTAACAATCGATATTTTTAAAGATATAAGCTCATCTTGATGTTACATTCGTCGAGAGCTTTCATTTGAGTACCCACATGTATGTTTGATATATTTTTCATATATACATATATATAATATATATAAATAAATGAAATATATAAAAAATACATGTGGGTACTCAAATGAAAGGTCTCGATAAGTGTAATGTCAAAATGAGCTTATATCTTAAAAAATGTCAATAGATTACAAGATACAAGGCCATTTCTTAATTATGTCATATATATAATATATATTTTCAAGATATAAGCTCATCCTGATCACTGTTACTCTCATCAAGAGCTTTCATTTGAGTACCCACATGCATTTTTGATATATTTTTCATATATACATATATATATAATATATATAAATATATGAAATATATGAAAAATTCATGTAGGTACTCAAATGAAAGGTCTCGACGAGTGTAACATCAAGATGAGCTTATATCTTTAAAAATGTCAATATTTAAAACAGTACAGTGTAATTTAACAAGTCATTATTTAATAAAGGAAAATTTTGGTACAAATCTATTTTATAAAAATTTAATTTTATTTATCAGGAAAAATCACCAGCGTGCAGTTGTGTAGATTGTGAATCAAGCTGTCCCGTCCCACCACCAGCACCTCCATTACCAACACCGTTTAAGCTTATCGGCTATGACGGAATAGCCGTCATTATGACGATTATATTTATCAGCGGATCCTCAATATTTTTAATGTCCATTATTTGTTTCAGTAATCGTAAACAAATAGGTAAGAAAAGATTTTATTTAACTTCTATATTTTATAAATTATTTTTTTTTTTTACATAAGAATGGTGAGATTTTAATTTACCCACACAAGTACTCAAATGATTATGCATAATCCCGTAAAAAACCAATGAGCAGTTTTCTCTTCTAAAATTCAATTATTTTATATTACATATTAATAATACATATATATTTCCTATCTAACACTCATATTTTTCTCCCTGGCAGTGGTACATAACAATATTTACATTTAATAGTTTTATTTTTTTGGTATCTGGTACCATTTTAGTGATTAATTAAAAATTGTTTTAATTAATATCACATTTAATTCATTATAAATTCTTTAAAAACTGTCATTAATTTTTATTATGGTTGTGGAAGCTTTTTAAAAATAACTATATTTTTTAATTTATTTATTTATTTATTTATGGATAAAAATATCGTTTTAGATGGAAATTTTCTTGATTAAATAAAAACATTTGAGTTTAAAAATAAAATATCTTCTGAAAATATTTTTATTAACGAGTTAAAATAGATTTATATTTTTTAATGCAAATAAACTATTGAGTTTAAATATAACTTAGTACGAAGTTTATTAATGTGTAAAATTGTTCGCTTTCTGCAAAACTAGCATTTTTTTTAATAATACTTATTTAAGAACACACGGATAGAAGGATTTATTAACTGTTAATAATTTATTTAAAAACAATTATTTAATTTATTAAATACTTTTTAATTTCAATAAATATTTATTTGGAAGGAAAATAATTTATTAACTGAATTTATATTATTAAGAGAATAAAAAAAATTTTGTGTCCGGGATAGTGATATAAAATAATAACATAATTTAGAAATGACCTTGTATCTCGTGAGCTATTCATATTTTTAAAGATATAAACTCATTTTTACATGACACTCATCGAGACCTTTCATTTGAATACCCACATCAATTTTTCATATATTTCATTTATTTATATATATTATATATATGTAT